CACTCTATATGACAAAGAAGAATTCGAACAAGACGAGATTCATACGTTTTCAGTCGAAATGCCTACAAATCTCGAGGGTCTAGGTGATGGTCACACAAGAATTCGTGATAGACAAGCACATCACCAATTAAAAGAGGATTTGATTGAGAATATATGGACTACATTTGGTAATGAATAATTTTTTTAAACTTTGTATTAATTAAATAAAATGTTTGTAACCTTTAATTAATATGTTTGTTTGTTTTTAATGTTTTTCATTTATATATTTAATGTTTTTTTTTGTGTAATAACTAATTCGAATAGTATTTTGTGTTTTATTTTATTTCCATCTCTATTTTAATATAACTTACTTTTTTAAAAAAAAATTTCAATTTTTAAATAACATTTAAAGTTTTTGATTATTAAATTATTATTTCTTAAGATCTAAACATGTTCTACCCTTAATCAATTACTCTACAAAAGATCTTAACTAAAGCTCTTATAATATTTTAATAATATTTTCAATCTAAGATCAAACTTCAAAGATCTCACGTTGCATATGCCCTTAGGAAGTGCCGTTGAGGATGGTCTTATATATTGGTTTTAAATTGATGACCATATAAATTCTCATTAATCTTTTGTGTCATTGTTCAACAGGAGTGTCCTAACCTGTCATATCAAAGTATCAAATTCAGTGAGCTCTAGGCTTAGCGCTATATTTGTTACATCAAATTTCATTTTCGTAAGTAAAATGCTTTTTAGAACAAAAACAAGACAGTAATTTATGTCTATCTTCGTTGTAAATTTGTAATATATAATATTTAATGAATTACAATAAATGGTAAAACTAATTCTGATAAAATACTGCAAACTACTTCATAATCGCACTCAATGGAAAATAGGAAAAAAAAATGAATTTCTAATTCGTAGGAATTTTTTTTTTCTACTTTGTTATTCTGTTTATCGGTAAGGATGAGGACAACACGACCAAGCGAGGTTTTGGGCTTTAAACAATCAAGGCCCATATGAACACAAATTATAGAGTTTAGTTATCCACTAAGAGTATCCACAATGGTGCATGCGGAAGTGTGGGTGTGAGTGACAGTGCCGGCTCGGAAGACATGCCACCCAAGCCACCGCTTGGGGCACCACTTTTTTTTTTTTCTTTTTTAAGGTTTTTCTTTTTTTTTTTTTGGAAAAAGGCCCAATTTTAGAAAAAAAAAGAATTAAGCCCATAAAATGAAAATATTTGGTAGAAACTAAAGCCTTTTTGAAAAAAATAAATAAAATAGGGCCCAAACAATTAAATTTGAATGTAATAATATTCAAAATATCATTATTTTGTATAATTTACTAAAAATAGGTCAAAAAAAAATTTTTAACCCTAAAACTTATAAATATATTGGGCCTCATTTTATTTTTCGTGTAGGGCCTCACAAATGCTCGGACCGGCACTGGTGAGTGGTGATATATTAATAAAATAATGTCACCAACCATCAATGCAGCTAATTTCCCTTGTGCTATAGGAGCAATGAGAAGCTTGTACAGCTCTAAAATGAGTGGAGGAAACAACTACTTTAGTATTCTCACCTGTATCCACCAAACAAATTCTGCCACGTCGCTTCTACATCCAGATGTAAACTTACACCCGTGTTTTGTGTCTTAGCCGAAATTTGCATTATTTCTCATTTGTTTATTACTAACACCCGAGGCTTGATTGCTCCACTGCGTTTGGTCTAAAAACCTAGTTCTAAGGAGATTATTGCCTTGAGAACAGAATGACTTAACTCTCAATGAACAAGCAAACAAGAAGTTCAATATTTTTCTTGTCGAACTTTTTGCCTTGGTATCTTTACAATAAAACTC